AAAAACTGAAATATCACATTGGCATAAGTATTCAGAGCCTTTGTTCCTGGCAAAAGACAACAACATTTGAAATTTAGCTCAGGTGCCTCTTGATTGTTGCTGAGCTGTTTCTACACCTGATTGGAGTCTACCTGTGGTAAATTAAATTGATTGTACATGATTTGGAAAGGCCCACACCTCTCTATAGAAGGCCTCACAGCTGACAATGCAGACTGTATCAGAGCAAAAGCTATGAGGTCAAAAGAACTGACTAGTATGTATCCTATATAGCCATGAGGGGGTAAAAAATCTGCTGAGATGAGAGTTCCTATAGAGGCCTTATTTTCATGAAACCTCTCTGGGACATTGTCTTTTTTCCTGAGAGTGTCAGCTAACTCTGTAGTAAATAGTTCATACAAAATGGAGGAGTTAATTGGCCAGTGTAATTAATGAGCCCCAAATAAAACCAGGTCCATCTGGGGCTAAATCTAATTTCCTCTGGGTTAGTTCTGCAGTTCATTTGTGTGGGTTTGAGGGCTTCCAAGGCATGTTTAGCCACCCCCTGCCAATTTAAGCATATATTGATATAGACATATGTGATATGCCGTAAGAGCCAAAAATGCGCTGCCCTGCTTGGGGTGGCATTGGGGATGCTTCTTTGACAAGCCTACTTAAATGAGGAGGCAAGAGTCTCCAGCTAATTTTAGCATAGCAAAAATCCCAAATTGCTTGAGGCTTTAAGCCTGATCTTTAGTAACAGAACTCTAGCACTTCCTTTACAATGATTGATATTTGGGAAGTTTAAGAGGGTATGCAATGTAAGTATAATTGTAGGTTTGGTTTAGGAGAGGAAGCCATAATTGGCAATACTGATGTTGGTAATTTATTTGAATGAGAAAACTCTTTTAACAGCAATGAGATGATGTCATGTAATTGTTCTTTGCACAGGCCAGCTTTCCCCAATTTGGGACTGTTTAGATGTGCCAGTCCAGCATTCCCACAATTCCCAGCCAGCATTGGACTTGTCCATATAGGCTGAAAGTTATGGGAAACATTGTCTTAATATATATTTGAAAGTGGATTGAATAAGATATTCAGTTTGGTATCATGAGGAAGCCAGTTTCGTTATTATAATGTGCCTTTTTCATTTCCTCCAGGTCTCTTGGGAGCACTTCTTCCCCATAAACAGTACCTATGGTCCATTGCATGTCACTTGGCAACTCCTTTGGCTTTTGAGAGATAAGACCTCCATGTCTGATTGGTTATTTTCTGTTAAATCAATGCTTCCTATTGCAACTCAAGTCTCTGTCCATGTTCTCCTCCTGGTGGCTTATCTCTTCATTCAAGAAGATGGAGATAATCTTCATAGTGTACTGGATACCACCATAGAAATTGCAAAGGTGGATTCATCCCAGGTAAGATTAATTTTTGATAAAAGGCCTGTGCCTAATATCCAAATGGCCTATCAAAAATCATTCTGAGTTTCTTCCCTCTATAGCTTTTGGTTTTATGCATATCTCCTTTTTATTATATGTTCTTCCCAGCTCCTCTTTTAAATCTTTTTTTCCCTTCACTCCCCATTTCTGTATGGGCCCATTTTCCAGTCACTTGCTTTCTCCCTTTGGATCCAGCCTGCACACCTACATGGGGCAGGAGTGAAGGTATGTGGAGGATTGCTGTTCCATCTTCTTACTCTTAGCATTGCGTTCAGCCTTGAAGAGGGCAAACAGGATAAGCAAGAAACAGAAACAGGTTCCTAAGTAGTGACAGAAGCAGGTGTCTTAAAATGCCAACTGCTGGCACTGGTGTTGTTAGACACTCCTGTTTTATGTCCATACATTTTGAAGTAATGAGAACCACTAATTGTTCTTTCAAGAAAAAAAATGAAATATATGCAACAGTTATTTTTAAGTTATGTATAACTTGGTTTGTTTGTAAAATTGGGATTAAAAAAATGGAAAATATAGCCTGAGAAACTAGAGAGGGTCCCTTCTTAGCTTCTTACTCTGCCCATTAGTGCAGCTGCAGGCCATGCTTTCTCTTATCTGTCTGTTCCCTAGGCAGCATCTCTTTGCCCTGTCTCTTGAGGTCTTTCTTACACACCATTACAAGTACCTACAGGTAGTCCTTGGTTAACAACAGTAATTGGGACCAGAATTTGCATTGCTAAGCGATGCGGTTGTAAAGTGCGACATCACGTGACCACATCACTTAGCGATGACAACCTTGGCAGTCCCCACTGCTGTCGTTAACTGAATCCCACCCGATAATTAGTGAAGGACTCACCCTGATCTAAGCCATTCCTGGCTTGGTCCCTCCCAGTCCCAAGCCTCAAGAGGAGAATGGCAGAAGACTGCCTCCTCTTAAACTCCCCCCACCCACCTATGTCCCCCTCATCTTTGCCCTTTTGGCTTCCCTGCACAGTGTCACGCTTTGGTGGCAGTGGTGGCACCGGCAGCACTGGGGCTGAAGTAGCAGCCCGGGGCCTTCAGTAGTCTCAGCTGGTTGACACCTCCAGGCCTCTACTTTAGCCCCAGCACTGTTAGTGCAACTGCCACTGAGGAATGCCACCTCAAGCTCCACACCACAGCACAAAACCTCAGCTGACCCTCCCACCCTGCACCCTGCCGCACCTCCACCAGCCCTGCCACCCCCAGCTAACCTTTGGTGTCTTCTCACTGTTGATGAGGGATGCCCAGCCTGGCCTTCCTGAGGCAGCTGCTGGCCACGTGAGGCCTTCTTCCCAAGGCTGCATGTGCCCTTCTCCAAGTCATATGTGGCCTTCTTGCGAGGCTTTGGAAGGCCTCAGACAGCAGGGCTGGTGCAGCGCCGGGCAACAGGGCCAGGAGAGGTGGCAGAGTGCAGGGTGGCTAAAAGGGCAGAGATGAGGGGATATAGGCAGGTGGGAGGAGTTGAAGCACCCCTGTGGTTGTAAGTGCAGGCAGGCTGCCAAGTGCCAAATTTTGATCACATGACTGCGTTGGTGCTGCAGTGGCCATAACTTCAGGGGCTGGGCATAACTACCATTTATTCACTGCCATTGTAACTTTGAACAGTTGCTGAATGAATGGTCGTTAACTGAGGACTACTTGTATTCCTATATTTTCTGGGCAGTAAAGATACTTTGAACCATCATTATTCAATATATTTTCAGCTTTTTAAAAAAATTGTGTTTTTAAATACATTTGAATGACATCGGTTGTGAGATTCCTGACTGTTAGTTTCACCTATAGAGGCTCTTGTGTATAAAACCTGAAAAGGCTAATCCACACATATATGAAAATACTCATGGGCTTTTCTGTTGACCATGGTATATTGGAAGAATTAAGTAGGATGATATAATGTTAAAATACAAAGAGAGCTATCTGTTGAATTGTGAGAACTAATCTTTGCAAGGATATAATTAACTAAAAACTATGAAATATTCAGTAATTGTATTCTGGTAATATTAAGTGATATTAAACACTTTTGGGTACATTCAAGATATTTCTTACAGTAAAATTATTAAAATATGCAGAATAGTACCCATAAAATGGTTATTTAAATATCATGAGGTCCAAAGAGTTGCAAAGGTTAACAATAAAATAGTAAAAGCAAATCCCGTTTTTGGAAACACTACAGCTGATTCACTATATTTAATTTCCTTCCATGTCTTGTTTTTTAAAAAACATGCATTCAAAATGCAAAAAAGACTTAATGATAAGAAGGGAATTCTGCTGTACAGTTTGCAGCTCTCTGTGGGAATAGCTGTCTGCAGATGGTTTGTTCAGGATCCTTTTATCATATTAATTCAGAACAGATAAATGGGAACTACTTTACAAGAAATGGGGAGCTTGGGAATTTCTTTTCAACCTCAAATGGCCTGGATTGTCTTTGTTCAAGATCTTCTGCTGATTTTTTGTTTTTTAGAAAATGCTTTTTTATTATAGAATAGAGAAACGGAAGAAGGTTGGAACCACAGAGGCTGGTGCCAATGGCAGTCTGCTGTAAATTATTTGCATAGTCATGGATGAGGATACGGGTTAACCCTAGATCAACCACATTGCTAGAAAAAAGCATTTTTTAAATGTTTGGGTATTTGGCTTGTTGGGAGGTTTATGGCTGAGTTTATTATTAGCAGAAGAGGCTTGGCTTTTGTGGTAGCTTTCTTTTACATCTGGGCCACAATATATATTAGTACATTGGAAAATTAAATAGCTGATTATGATAAGTCAAAATTATAGCAGACTCATTTCTTTAGTGTTTATGTGCTGAAGTCTTGAAGAAAGCTTAAGACAGGTGTAGCATTTCTGAAAGAAACAAGCATTCTAATCGGCAAAACAGCCATTCATATTCAAGGAAGCATGAGATATAAGTAACCAAAATATTTAAAACAAGTTTTTGCAATTTACATAGGCAATATGATAGCTATTATTTTGCAATAATGGTGTACATTTGGAATTAAGTTTTGCTTAAATCTCCACAATTTAATTTTTTAATGTATAGGATCAAATTGCAGAGGCCTATTCTTGTTTTATGTTTGCATAATAGATTAATCAATTAGATATTCTAAATAGGAAGCATGTAGTAGGAGATATGAAAAACATTAATCTTTATTTATCATTTACTATTTGTGATTGTTGTGAATGCTCCTAAGGCATCCTGATAGGACTTCAGAGATACGTCTGCCCTGCTACTGTGAAGTAGGAAAGAGTAACTTTTCCTTTAGAAATATCCCTTTGGATCAACAACAGATTGCTGACCCAACAAATTGCTGCGTATATCCTCAAATTTTAACAGTGACATGTTTAAACTCTCTTTGAATCCTGTTCTGTATGTGGATGGAAGCTATAGACAATTAGCTTTTTATTTTGGTTAAAATTTCAAATGCTTTTCTCCAAATACAGATAGTCCTCGCTTAATGACCATTCAGTGATCATTTGAAATTACAATGGTGCTGAACAAGTGGGATTTAAGACCAGTCTTCATAGTTGCAGCCTTACAGCATCCCTGCAGTCACGTGATCGTGATTTGGGTGACCGGCTTGCAATTGTGACATTGCAGTGTCCCGCAATCAAGTGATCACCATTTACGACCTTCACTGATGGTTTCCAACAAGCAAAGTCAGTGGGGAAACTGGCAGGAGGTCACAAATGGTGATCATGTGATGTCACGCTTAATGACTGTGTGGAGTTCGCTTAACAACCATGTTGCTTAGTGATGGAGTTGCTGATCCCAATTACCATTGTTAAGTGAGGACTATCTGTAATTTGTGATCTACAGCTCTTAGTGTTTTTATTTTCAGTAGCCTACAAAGAGCAACTGTATAGCTAGCAATATGATGTAATTCTCAAAGTCTGCCTTTTAAAATCTTGGAACAAGTAAGCTGCCTCTCCATCAGAATATATGCCCTGACAGTTTTCTGCATCTTGGCACAAAAGTATCTTGAGCATCAAAGGTCACATAAATATATTTCGTTATACTTCTAAGCAGCATTTTCTTTACCTTCAGTGTCTGATCATTACATCAGTTCAAGCTACTGCAGTCAGAGGAAGGGAGCATGAGTTTTAATTTCACAGTGTCATGATGTAGATAATGTTTTTCTTTCTCTCTTTCTAAAAACCAAGACCTTGCTGAAAGCTTGCTACTTGATTTATCCTAATGGATTTTGAAAAATGAACATTTTCCCATAAGCTTTCTATTTATGGCCAATTGTAGTTGTTTTAGCCTGTACTGACCAATAGCGACCCTGTAATTGAATGGACTACCCAGTACTTCTTAATATTTAAAAAGAAAGAGGTAGAGAAGTTGTAGCTCCCACTTTTTCCTGGTCTTCCTTTTGTGCACATCTGGAATTCTGCCTAGCTCAATATACCGGGGACAGCTGATGAGATCAAAGAGGGGATGGGAATATAAAGCTGCCATTTCCTAACTTGCACAGCATCTGGTAATTTAAAGGCATATGCCCCTCAAAACGAGGCATTAGTTTGGGTCAACACAGGAAAATTGATAGATTGTGGCTAAGTAGAGGAATACATTGTTCTGTATTACATTTTTCAGAAAGAATCTAAATTGGGTCCTGCAAGTTTTCCAGTTTTCGTTTTTAGAGAAAAATTCAACTGTTTTTTAAAATGGCAATACAAAACAAATATTCTTTTGCAGATTTTTCTTTATTCTATTTTCTTATATTCTATCGAAGAGATCAATTCCTAAGGCTAAGTGACTTGTCTGAGATCATAGAGAATCTGCTTGAGGCTGAGAAATGTAGATCTACTTGTCACATTAATGCTGTATATGCTTATGGGGACATCTGTCACTGATTTGTGTTGAGGTCATTTGCATATTGTACAGAATAGCCAATATTGGCCTTATAGCAGTTGTAGTCCAATACATCTGGAAGTCACCAGGTTGAGGAAAGCAGTTCTGTGTGCTTACT